ATGTTCGGGAAGATTGTAGTAGACTTACTGGGAATTTGACATCATAGAAAAGAGTAGTGTTAAATATTTTCCATCTGTTTTCTTTTTCCAGATTAAGGGGCTCTATCATCTAAGGCTAAGAATGGAAATGGGGACCTTTAGCCCCTGGGAGGTTCCAGCCACACTTTTGACCATCTCCACATAGCTGACAAAATGGCCAAAAATCATAGCATTGTTTCCCAAAATCACCAAATTTCCACAATTTTCATGTACTAGGCATACCCTTCTGTTGTTTTCCAAAGCAGTTGCACTATATATTTTCAGCTCAGAAGTATGTAACATTATTTCAAAATATCCCTCTTAAAGTTATATTCTCATTCTTTTGCTTACAATTTTGACCCAGTGACCCCACATTGCATTAATTGTTGTAAGAATAAAAAATATATGAAGTCTGAATATTCTTGTATGTTACTTCTTTTGAGATCTTTGAAGAGAAATCTCTGTACAGGTACTCTTCAACTTACGACCACAATTGAGCTGAGAATTTATGTTGCTAAGTGAAACATTTGTTAAGTGAGTTTTGCCCCATTTTATGACTTTTCTGGCCACATTTGTTAAGTGAATCACTGCAGTTGTTAAATTAGTAACACGGTTGTTAAGTGAATCTGGCTTCCCCGTTGACTTTGCTTGTTAGAAGGTCGCAAAAGGTGATCACATGATCCTGGGACATTGCAACCATCATAAATATGAACCAGTTGTCAAACATCTGAATGTAAATCACATGACCATGGGGATGCTGAAATGGTTTTAAGAATGAAAAATGGCCATGTCACTTTTTCAGTGCCGTTGTAACTTCAAATAGTCACTAAATCAACTGTTGTAAGTCTAGGACTACCTGTATAGCCTTTTATGATATCACTTGCGTATAGCATATCATTCTTTGACAATATTACATAAGAATTTAGCAAAAATTATTTGCTTGTTAATATAAGTGGCATTTTCCAGATTTCCTCCCAGGTTTTTTAAACAGGTCTATCCCCGGTGAATATGCTCTCTCTCACATGAACAAAGTATTTTACTTTTCTTTTTTCTCTCTTTATAATAGTAATCCATAGAATTATATCTGAATTAACTGAATTTAAATACAAGTTTATTCTACTTATTTCTGAGGAAAAAGTGTTGTTTAACAGAAAAAGACTGCCAATTGTGAATGCTAACTGTTTGGTAATTTTAATGCTGGATGTAATTTCTAAAGCACAAAAATGACTTTCAAGAGTATAGTAAAATTGGTTACAGCTGAATCCTTGAGGATTTAACAAGAATAGTTATAACTGAAGTAATTACTCCTCTATTCTGTACCTTGTTTCTTCTTTCTGTCATGTTAACATAACCAAAAGTCTGTTTCTTTCTCCAATGGGATTTATGATAGTATTTATCAAAATCACCATTATTCTTCAAGTAGCTTGGCTTATAAACCCTATTAAATTGGTTACATATACATATACATACACAGAGAGGGGGGGGGGAGAGAGAGAGAGAAATCCTGGAAAAATTCATATTACAATGCAATCAGAGAATGTTCAAATACAATAAAAAAAAAGAATTGACAATGTTTAACCAAGGTCATTATCATCCAGATGTGCAAAACAGTCTCCTCAATTCCACCACCATCCACCATGACAAGGGTGGGTTCTACTTACCTTTACTATCAGGTCGCAACGGGATCGCGTGCACGCCTTGTGCATGCGCAGATCGCAGATGATGACATCCGGGGCAGTGGGTGGGGCCTCCCGCCAGTTTTACTACCGTTTCTTGCGAACCGTTCCGAACCGGGGGCAATCGACCACTGCACCATGACCAAAATTATAGTAATTATTTTATCAAATAGGGGCATTAGATGTGTGTTATGTAACTACTTGGGTTTTTTTTTTTAAATACAGCAAGATTATTTTTGTTTGATTAAGGAAATCTGTAAGATGTAGGGTATTGCATATTAATACAGAATTTCATGGGAATGGTTGGGGGGTAAGTATAGGAGCTGATTTGCTTGCGAGCTCAAAAGTAAGAGCTTACTAGTAAGAACATACAGTACCCTTGCTTTAAGCTTATCCTGTTTTCCTCATTTCCCTAAAGGCACCTGCAGTCAACATTATGACTATGCTGGGAATAAGAAAACTGTAAACTCATTGATGTTGCCTTGTCAGATTATTATAGTGCTAAAGTGTTTGCAGAAACGTTATAGATTGTTTTAATAAATAAAAATAGTATGTTTCACACATTTTAATTTTCACTGTATTTGTCCTTCTGTATCTGCCAACTTGAAAATAGATATTCTGTTTTGAGTGTGGGTGTTGTGGATGTGCTGTTAATTTTTTCCCCCTTCAGTTTCTTTCTACATGATTTTAAATTGTTTATTGGGTCCATTTAATGTAAACATAAGCTTTGTTTATGAGCGTACTAGTTGTTTGAAAAATCGACTTATAACTCACATCCCTCTGGGTTGAACTCAGTCACTTTGCAAGCACCAGCTGGTATCTCCTTATACTAAATAGCTACATCGCATCTATCACTGGCCCTAGTCTTGTAGAATTAACTTCTACAAAAAATTATCTGTAATCTATCAACATTTTAAAAAGTGTTTAATCTCTCCCCCCCTTTGGTTGCCCTTTGTAAGACTGGTTAAAGTATTAAAACTATATATAAATGTACTAGCTGGATCCCTGTGCTTCGCTATGAAACTATGTGATCGGGCTTGATAAATTGACACTTACAGCTTGAATCCTCCTCTATCCTATCCACTTCTCTCCCTCAGCCTTGCCCCACAGAAACGTCTCCTATCCCCTTCTTTCCCTCAGGCTTTCTAGCCCCTTCTCTCCATGAGGCTTGCCCCATAGAAGCCTGTCTTATGCTATCCCATTCTCTCCAGAGTTATTTTCAAGTTGGGAGGGGGAGTAGAACATCTAACTAATTAGCATCAGAGCGTGTTATAATAATATAGGAAATACTAATGCTCTGATGTTTATTTCAAAAAATCCTTTTTTAGTGAGCACCTAGAAGCCAAGAGGTACATACATGGCAAATTTCAAGTTTGTAGGCTTTACGGTTCTGGAGATTTCATGATTAATGTGTGAGTGGTTTTCGCTTTTATATATATATAGATAGATAGATAGATTGTAATTTTGATATAAAATATTTGTTTTAAAGTAATGGATTATTCAGTTTCTGGGGACGAATATTAAATTCTATTGTAGTGATTTTATCTACTAATGTTTGATGTTTTATTTTATTACAATCCTGAAACCTTCTTAAATGAAAAATGAAACAACTGATATTAATGGACACAGAAGACATCATTATTAATAAAGAAAAAAATGTTATAAATGACAAATATGATACCATACTATTCCAAGTTTTCTTTAGATTTGATGTATTCACTGAAGATCATAAAATAATTAAGGATTTCTGGGTTCATAGAAAGATGAACCTGTGTGGGATAGTTGAAATCATTGTTGGATCAACAAACCTGTAAAATCCCATACTCCATTCCTGCTGTGGTGAACCAGATGCCTTTTTGTAGGTGAAAAATATTTCAGTTGTGTTCCCAGCATCTATTATTAGAGCTATATTAAAAATAATCTAGCTGCAATGGTTAGCAGCTATTGATAGTCTTGGCTTTATCTTCCTCTCCTTGCAGTATTTTTTAAAAAATGTGGCCTAAAGCATTCTATAAATGGAACATTTACATATGTTTAAGTAGAATGACAACTGTGCTTGTTGTTGGCTGGGTATTGTGCCTGTAGCATCTTAATAATAACCCAATATCTTGAAAAGTTTAATTGCATTTTTTCTTTAAGATATCATTTAATACTGTGTTATGCATATAAGCCTTGCTTCCTAGCAATGAGGAGTTTCAGAGGTATCAGCTCTAAATTGAGACTTGGTTTCTTTAGAAGAAAGTCTCTGAGGAATGATGTTGATTCTGTGATATAATGTTTGCTTACAGATATATACAGTACAGAAGAAAATAAGGTGAGGCATTTATTGCATTGATACTCCAAAGATTAATCTTCCACACCAGATTTGTAGATATATCCACAGCATTTTGCATGTTACTTCCATTACAGGGTGATCAAAAAAATGACAATTCTTCTTGACCCCTGGGACAAAGTAAGATGAAGTAATTTCAATATCTTCTCAGCCTCCACCTTTCATCTTGGGCTATTAAAACACAATGACATCTGTCACTCGCCCCTTTGATGTTAGGAGGCATTGTCTCTGACTACCTATTTTGGTAGTTCAATTTACAGACATCTTGGACACAAGAAATTAGGTCAAGTTTTATGGGAAAAAGGAATCCTTTGGGTTTACCTTAATCAACCTCCTCCAAACTCATAACAGTTGAATGCTCCTTTCAAGTTCATATAGCCATAATCACATTTGACACTTTTAAAGGCTTAACCTCTTTAAAGGCAGTGTAGTGTGTATACGGCATTGAAAAGAAAAGCCACATTTTTTTAAGTACAGCCATTCCCCTCTTCATGAAAGAAGGAATAAAAATTCACACACCAAGGAAGCAGGAGGCTACCCTAATCCAATGTTCATGGTTACATCGGTTGTAACAGAGTTATAGTTCCTTTTTTCTGAGATATACATGAAAATTGATACTTCCTTGTGTTTTTAGTTCATCCTTTAAACTGAAGGGTTCTAATCTTATGCTACTTATTGATCTGTGAGACCTCATGTGGTTTATTTAGCAAAGAAAGAAAAAGAAATGCAAATGATTTTCAGTTATATTTTTTAAGTAAAATTGGCAGCTTGTCAGAGGGCATCCCCGTTCATTTGCTAATAATAAAATGTATGCATTGCCACACAACTATTATGATTTTAAATTAAAATTCTTAAAATCAGACACAGTTCATCAAAGAGTGATTATTTTTAACCATTTCAGAGCTAGCTAGCTCTTCTCATTATCATCATTAAACCCCTCCCTTTTCCTTGAAAGCTTTTTATCTTCACTTATGCTCCACAGGAGAAATTGGAGTCTACTTGTTCGCTGGATTGCTTGATATATTTTGTTGCTAGTTTCCCGTGATAAAAAGCAAGCAAAAAGAGAATGCTTGTGCTCTAAAGGAAAGGAGCAAGAATGAGCACACAGCTCTACTGCAGGCATTTTTTTAGAGCATGCTGTCCCTTTCTCTGTAATACGGTGCAGCCCTCCCCTGAGCAGCAGCAAGCAGTCTGATTGCTCTCATTCAACACATTTGGTATGCATGAGCACAACCAATCCAAGCTGGGAAGGTGTTTTCTTACGGAGGATCAGTGGCTAAAGCAAATCAGTGGCTAAAGCACTTTGTCAGATTTTCAGTCAAGTTAAAAGAGACATCTGGCTAATGGAATTGCAGGTGTGGACCCCTAATGGACATGGAATTTCAGCCCAGTGGAAGAGCATTTGTTTTTTAGACATTGGTAAGGTTTGTGTTTCATTATTCCAGTGGAATATTTGAGGGTCATGAGTCAAAGTGATGCTCCCCGACCACTAAATTGGACCATTCGGAAGCTCTGCCATGCTGCCTTTCTCCCATCTGTCAGACTACTTAAGGTACTGTGAAATCACTGTGTTTTACGATTGTGATTATGTTGTTAACTGTTTCCCATGCTGCAATTATAGTACAAATCCAAAATTACTTTTTGCAGTAATGCTGCTTTTTTTCAATATTCTGTTACTCATATATAGGTAAGAAAAGTGCATTTGTAGACTTGGGTGGAATCCTTAGCTTTGGTATAGTGTCAGATACATTTAATGCTAAAATGAAATGTTTGAGATAGCAAGGATAATTGCTACAAGTAGAAAGAAATACCAAAAGCTCTCCATTTCTCTTACTAAATCTCCAGATCCATTTATGGGAACAGTGGAGTGTTGTGCTCATCTTTGGTAATTCCCCTTGCAGTTTATATAAAGACTAGTTCAGAATCTTCCCATGGAGATCAGCTTCTGGACAGAGGAAACTTCCTAATCATATTCTTTCCTCCATCTAGAACAAGCTTCTTTTGATTTTCTTAAGCATCTGTGTCTTGATTGTTGTTGTGATAAAAGTGGCATAAGATCCTTTTGATACAGTAGAAGACCCCGAGCATATCCTCTATTTAACTATACAATAATTTGTAGGATACCATTGAGACTGATGTATTCTATGCGAGTAAATTTTAGACCAACCTTAGAAGGGAATATATTGAGAAACAAACATTTAATGTCTGTTTGTAAAAGTGGGTTTTATTAAACAGAGTTTGATACTTTTGCACTTTTGTTTCACACAAACTTCCACTTTGATTAATGTAATTTCTCTGAGATGCGATCATAGGATTACAGCCACACTATGAATTACCTGCCATTGTATAATGCTTCTAGTATACAGAATGTGTTAAACTGAAATGCAGCCACTGAGCTTTGATCTATGGCTTCAAAGCTAGAGGGAAGTATTTTTCCTTTGTCCCATTTCTCTCTTCAAACCTGTGCTCCACCAGCTGTTCATAGGAAGGGAAAAAGTAGCAAGAAAAAAAATTAAGCAGACTCTTTCTGGTGCTCTTATCTACATTCCTCCACCCACCCCTAAATCATACTGCATTGTTATGATCTCTGACTAAAGCTTTGCTATAAAGGACTTCCCTAACATGAAAGAATGTGGAGGGATTTGAGGACATTTTGTGATCCAACCTAAGGCAAATGCATCAAGTGCTTGGTTCTAATAGCAATACAGAATGGTATAAAAGAATACTAACTGCTTTTAGAGATAGCAATTATAAAGATATCTAATTATTTCTTGCTTTTCTCACATACGATGACATAATTTCAAGTAGAAATTTCTATAGGAATTATTTATTAGAGAAGAAATTTGCAAAAGGAGGGTCACTCTGGAATGAACCCCCGGAATCAACATGCATCACGCTATGTTTGCTGTGTACTACTTCGTGGATCAAGCCAGTCCATAATCTTATAAATTTATCAAATTATAACAAGAGGAAGAGGAAGGATTACAACCACATCCTGTTCTTAGTAAAATGTAAAATGCTCCTGCTGGTGTGAACTTTGAAAAATTTAATTTAATTTTTTTAAAAAATCCAAAATTAAGACTGAATTGTTTTTAAGATGGTTACTGTCAGATGGCAGCTTCTGATAAGTATAGAGTCCAGATTATTACAGAGGAGTTTCTCTGAGCTAAAAAAATGCCTGAGTTTCTTCCAAAAATTGTTCAGGAATTCCCAATACACCTACATTTTTATAGCTGAAGTTTGATTATTGTTCTCTTATAAGAGAATCTTGTGGTACCTTAAAAACTCAGCAGTTTCTTTTTTCATAAGCTTTCATAAAATGATCCATGGATAAATGCCGCAATTGGATACCACTTTTCTGAACCACAAGGGCTCTTTATTTATTTTTATTTTAATAGCAGTTGAGATAGAGTAGGAAGGAGAGAAATACAAAGCCAAAAGTACCAATAGAAGGAGTGGGTTCTTGTTTTTAGCTTTTGGTGTGAACATGTAAACATTTGAAACTTAGAGAATTTGAATAACTATCTATAAAATAGAATTAAAGGAACAGATAATCTTTGTTTAAAATGGAATAGGGGCTACTCTAGGAAGCTTACAGAAAGGAATAAATAAAAAGGAAGATATGAAAAGAGTGTAAACACAATAAAAGTAAAATAATAGTACAGTAAAATGAATAATGAAAAAGAACACAATGAGAATCCATCATAGGAGCCTTGATAGTACAGTGGTTTAGTGCACCCTGTTATTAACACAGCTGCCTGAAATTTCTGCTGGTTCGAATCTCTCCAAGGCTCAAGGTTGACTCAGCCTTCCATCCTTTCAAAGTTGGTGAAATGAGGACCCAGTTTGTGGGGGCAATAAGCTGACTTTGTATAAATATACAAAAGGATGAAGGCTATTGCTTAACGCATTGTAAGCCGCCCTGAGTCTCCGGAGAAGGGCGGCATATAAATCAAATTTAAAAAAAATACAACAACCAAAAAGATGGACAGGTGAACAATAGAGAGCAAGGGAAGGGAGCCAGAGTCTGCCATCAGTTTGGCAGTCACCTCCAGCATTGATCCTCCTCCCCTCCATTTGGCCTCCCAACCAAGAAATCTAGCTTCTATAATACAGCTAATTTTTATTTTCACCGTGAAACTTTATTTGTAGACTGCCTTTATTCCCTGAAGTTAATAGATAATATTGTGAATAGTTAAATATCCTACAGGAATACATCATAACACTTCATCAGTTGCACAGTATTCAGCAGAGATCTCTAGATTCACACTTTCACATTATATGGAACTATTAGATGATTCTCAGTTACACAAAGCAACAGTAAATAAACTCTGAGACACAAAAGTCCAATTAGTGAAAAGAGTATTATTCACAATTGCTGCAGGTTCAAGCTAACCAATCTAATAGCACAGAGAAAGAAAGTTATGTGGTGTTTTTAATATTTTAGTGTTATAAGCCACTTAAGTGGTGCCTTTTTGTGCCCCCATGCTGGCAACTGTCTGGATAAGTCCCTGCCGTTTTCTTGACAATGTTTTCAGAAGTGGTTCACCAATGCCTGCTTCCTAGGGCTGAGAGAGAAGGACTGGCTCAAAGTCACTCAGCTGGCTTTGTGCCTTGTAATCTCCTGGTTTTTAGTCTCATGCCTTGACAACTACAGCATAGTGGTTCTTTAGATTGTGGTGGTATAAAATCACTGTAATAAGTAAACAAGGAATATAAGAAAAACATTTTCCCCCTTGATTTGTAGCCCAGGTTTTACCAGTATTTTAGCTATGGTTTTCCCCAGCAAGGGAGGGAGCTGTCCAGCAGAGCAAGATAAATGCTTTAAAGGAAGGTTACCAAGACTGTCGAGGAGCTGTCTATCTACATGAATAAATAGAGAACCTAGAGACAAGCTGTTAATCAGAAAAAGGTGTAACTAATACAAATGAATTATAGCTCCTAATCCTGTACTTCTTCCTCAGATAAAATATTTTTTATCTCCCAGAATTCCAAGTGGGTTGTTTTGATGTCTTTAGGCCCTGCAATTACCAGGATCTGTCTTCAGAGCCAAAACTATAGGTGTCCTGTGTCCAATTATTTATCCTCTACCTCTGAGAATGGTCCTTATAAATCAAACACTAATTGAAAACTACTCGAAGGTGTAGTCTGTATACCAAGGTATTCTGAATATTTTTGATGCTTTTGAATCTTACAATAAACCTATTCGATTCTTCTTTATTGTATGCTAAGATTATTTATGGGTCCTCTTGTTAGGTAACCTGATGAAGCTGATATATAACCCACACATTCATAAAAGTATGTACGTTCTTATTATGCACACAAATATGCAGCCTCTTTTTTAATGGAACACCTTACTATAGGAGGAATGGGAAACACTGTTTTACTTTTGTAAGGTGGTTAAAACCTTATTGCTCCATCAAGCCTTTGGTACAGATAGAGAACTTGGGCTGCTGTTATAATCCTTTAAATACTGTTTGTTGTGTTATCTCCTTTTTAGCATTTATTTTTACTGTATTACAAATATCATGGAGCTTTCCCTGTGCAGATAAGAAATTCTCTAGGTATTTTTTTTAAAACTGGTTTCATTTTAAAAAATTGAAATCTCCTGATATAAATAATTAAAATGATAACGATAAAATTATTAATTTATCACATTTATACTCACTGCTAGATAGTTGTTAATAACCTAAATGCCCCAAGATGCCTCCTGGAGAATAAAGGTGGAAGAAAGTACTGTATCTGTAGATTTTCTTTGAAATGTCAGAATGTATTTTAGTCAGATCATCTCTGGCACATCCTTGAATGCATGGTATGGCACACTGAAGGTTGATTGTGCTGGCTTCTGTCTCTCCTATTGAGCTGGGACTACTGGTTCTGGATAGTTGATAATGAGATTTGAGTGTCAGTTCCCTAAATGAAAGGAAAATATTTGACCTCTGCTATGAAAACATCATACTTGTAACAGTCCTTGTCCTTATGAACCATAAGTGAGACTGTTTCTTTTTGTTGCTTTTATTCAGCACCAAACATTTCTGTCAGAGGAAAGTTTGCAGGCAACTTTGCCTTTGGGGAATGATCCAGCTCCCAATGGGTCTGTTATTTCTGAATATTGCTGAAGTTCAATAATTATGTGAGAGTGAGGAGGCAAGCTGAAATTGTCATTTAAATACCTAGATCTGCAGGATAATTTTTTAAAAAATGAAATACACATTAATAAATTAGAAGTGCATATACTATTGCCTGTTTACATATTCACATCTAAATTTCCTTAAAATTGGCAAGTTGCAAATAGTATGAGTTGGTTTAAAAATCAATCAGACAATGCCCAAACAGCAATTAAAAAGGGAAATGTGAAGAAAACAAGTTCTGAAATGGTCTATGCTCCAATATAGTGTTTCTCAATCTCAGCAACTTTAAGTTCTACAGACTTCAACTCCTAGAAATCGCCAGTAGAATGGATGGCTGGAGAATTTTGGGAGTTGAAGTTCATGCATCTTAAAGTTGCCAGGATTGAGAAACACTGCTCTAATAATTCTTAGTTTGTTATGT